AGCACTTTCTTGTTGTTGTGCTCGCGCAAAAGTCTCGCGCTTTGTGTGAGCCATGGTTTCAGGAGAGCATGAGATAAGGGAACTAGCTACTCCACGTATTTCTTCCTCTCAGCCTGCTGGCTCACACCAGCAGGAACGCTACCGATCGAAATAGTAACGTACCTTCGGAAATTACTCGTCCTCCCTGACTGAATCCCCAGCTCGCCAACTGGCGTACGGGCTGAGAGCGGCGATCTTGGCGCTGCTTTCAGAATCATCGCTTCGCACACCCATCATCCAAGGCTGCTGCATGGTGGTCGGGCGCTGTGGCGTTGGCTGCTGCGGCACTGCTGCTGCTTGCTGCTCTTGATGGCCCCGCTGCCTGGTCGCTCCATGGTCCATCTACGTATGGCCGGAGGCATCAGGGCGGCGGTAGCTCTGACTCTTCGCAGTCTTAGCGACTAACCGTACGCAAACAGCTGATCAACTTCGTTTTGCCACAGCCCTAGCTCGTCTTCGAATTGGCCCACTAGGGGAATCAAAGGCGGCTCAGCTAGCTGCAACTTGACATAAATACACCATATCATCGAACAGTTCAACGCTTGCAGCATGAGGAGGCGATCTTGTGGAATGCGTCTGCCACCCACGAAGTCAACTACATACTCCAGCTCGCCATGAACTTTAACCCAGGTAATAGGGCGAGGAATACGTCGCTGATTGATATACGCGGACCAAGCTTCCCAAATTCTTGCATGCTCACGTGTGGTTGGGTCTGCTGTTTCCCAACGAAGAAGCTGCGGAAGAGCCAGAACGTCGTAAATGAACACTGACCTACGAAGATACACGTCGTGGTTCCCGTGGACGTCCAACTCGTACCGCGTTCACCAGCACACTTGCGCTTTTCGCCTCTGCACCAGCTCTGACCAGCGCAGCTGCTTTGGGGCCGGAGCAGCCTTTGCTTTGGCCTCCGCTTTTGCTTTAGCTTTGGCCTCCTTGGCTGCTGCTCTCTTGGCCTTCTCCTTCTCTTCAGCCTCTGCTTTCGCTTTGGCTTCTGCTTGTACTTTTTTTTGCATCGGACGCTGCGCCTTGCTTGCTGCTGCTATCGCCAATGTTGTTGCCCTTTTTTCTTCGCCTTTGCCTTTTCCGTAGGACTTCACCTGTGCAAATTCGCAATCATTGCCCTTCAGACACCCGCCTTTGGTATTCGAAAAACCCACAAATTTTCACGCCATTCCTATCTTTACCGGTCTTTGCCTTTCCCTTGGCTCGCTGCAACCTCAGATTCCCCATTGGCTCCACTGCTCTTGCTTCTAGATGGCTTTGAGTACTCCTCTGCCGCCAATCGCCTGGACTCCTGCTCAACCAAGGTGATCATCAAAGAGACGCCCTCATCGTAAGGATTTAGGAGCTCTGGCTTCAGCCTGATCAAATTAAACCGAGTGCTCAGAGTGAGCTCGTTGCGTTCCAGGGTTTTGACAAGGTTGTTTAGCGCTGTAATCATCTTGCGCGGCGGAAGTGATGGGAGGTGTAGGGCTGTAGTTCGTTGGATTGCAAGCTGCAGGCGTCTCATGGTAGATTGCTGCAGGAAGATTTCGCAAGAACCGTATCAAAGATGCACGTTCCTCAGTTCCTCCCGGCTGGAACTTTTCCAACACCGCGATGAGCAGCTGAAAGACGGCGCAGCCTGACCCAAAGCAGATTCAACGATGCCACGTTTCATCTCATCATCAACGCTTCCCAAAAGGGCCAGCCATGGAAAACCTTGACTCGTATTCTTCATACCCCTTCCGCGCGCATGGAGTCTCCAAATCCAGAAGACCCTGTTCAAGCCGACCCATCTGAAAACGCACATAATGCCCGAACTCTGCATTGACACATGTAGAAATTTGGCTGGATTTCTGTGGCGTTTTGACCACGCTGAAGGCCTCACTCCCATGGCTGACCTACAGGCTTCTGGATCTTCGGGAATTGCTTCAGCAAGTCGCAGCGTGATCCAGATTTGGATACCGCTGCAGGTGAGGCCGGAGGTGGCTCACTGGGCTTCCATTCCAAACCTTCCGGTTCGTTCCACGATCCAGGATCCTGAGATCGGTGCTCGTATGACCACCACCTCCAGGAATCCCCGTGTCCGGTTTATTCTCAACAGAGCGTCGAGGAGCCTTGGCCTCCTCAACTTCGAACTGTACGACCTTCTGAGGCTTGCTCTTAGCCTTTGCGGCTTCCAGCGGTCTAGCGTTGCCATGACCACCTTCTGGTCGGAGTACATGTTCTAACTCTGCTCGGATTTTCTCATCATGGATCTTCTGCCCTGAGTGACCCGTTCCAAGGCCACCACTTGCTCTAAGATCGCGCACGTTGCTGGATCTTGATCTTCGCGCATTGCGTTCAGCGCTGCGGTCACAGGTTGATGTGACTCTGGTGCGTCACCTCAACTTCCAATGCTCTCAAGAACCTGCAACTGCTGTCTGATAGATTCAATGCCTGCTTCGTTGACCAAGTCCTTTCCCGCCAGGTCTGCTATACGCTGATCCAAAGAAGAAAAAGACATTCTGGAATCATTCGTCAACTGCTCCAATTTATTGCGCAGTACTGTCACTTGCGCGCGTAATTCTTGATCTTCCTGTGCCAGCTGTTGTAAACAATTCGACGTTGCGGCGGCCTGACCGCCCATCATCTGCTCAAGTTGCGCAACACCAGCTCCGACGGCTTCTACACCTTTGTCAGCAGCAGCGATCCCATTAGCCAAAAGGTGAGTACGACGTTCCAGTTGTTGAGCGCATTGATCAGGGCTGCCTCGGACTTCCTTGAAACCATTAATGCTTGGCACCACGTAGCAAATACCACGTATTTCCTCAATCTGCCGTGCAACGTGCCATTAGCATCTTGCATTTCACGAATGTGCCTGAACAAGAGCTCGGGACCTTCTCGCAAAAGGGTCTGGCAAAGACCTTGCATGGAAGAAGAACCTGCTGTTGCATCATGCGCACCTGCTGTGGCTGCCATTTTTTCATTCTGAACGCAGCGGCTCGTGTCCGCCTAGCGAGCCGGTGATCAAAGGTGGTCCGTTTGGGACCGGCATCTCTGTGGACGCAACTACTACGTAGCTCCCATGTAGGCCCAAAGGCCGTCACACTGACACCATATCATATGCTCTGCTGCCGCTGCTGTGTTTGCAAAATCAACACCTCCAGCACCAACAGGAGGCAGCGTTTGGGCTCATAACCTGATCATGTTGTTCAGGGGAAGGCTCAGACACAAGTCTATAATGGGTAGGAGCAGGTGAACCTGCCAGGGCAGTACGGATACAGTGAGGCACATCATGATAATCCGAAGACATTCCGGTGACAACCCCTTTCAAGCATCTACGCCTCTACCAACAGCTGCTACGACCCTCAGCTACCTTCCAAAGCCTCTCCCCAACCACCCTCCAAAAAAACCATACTCCAAGTTCCCAGGGGCAGCATTTCACTGATCTTGAGCCACGTTGAGTGACAGTACACATCTCGAATTTGTATGTCATCTCTGCAGCAGGTAGTCAGGCGCACTCACAAACACAGCAGCACCTTTGCCCCCACACAATCTGCGAAACTGCAGTTGCTTCCCCCTGGCTGCCCTGGCCCCTGCCAGACACAGTGCGGCGAGACACGGCTAAACTGCTGGTCACCGAAGCCGAAAAATCACGAAACAAAGTAGTTCGCCGCCCCCAATTTGCGCTGCTGCTTCGGAAAAAGTGCTGAAGTCCTGCGCTGGCCAGACAATCCGAAACCGGTGTCTCGAAGCTAGGAACAAAAACAACAGCGTCAAAAAAACGATGCCGACCTGCGACGACGACAACGACAACGACCACGACGACGACGACGACCACGACAACGACAACTAAACTCCTCCTGCTCCTGCTTCTGCTGCCGCCGCCACCGCGGCTGCTGCTGCTGCTGGTGCTGTTGCGGCCACTACTACTATTGCCACGATCACGACTTCGACCATGACGGCTACTCCACTCCACAGTATGCTTCTTTACTTTGCAGCTTGTCAGCAGCTGTCTGCCGCAATAAACGCTGGAGTCTAAACAGCCTGCTTTTCTGTTGAATCCTTCTCTGCTCCCCTTTTCAAAGGCCCGAGCTCTTGGAGCAGCAGGCCGCGGGGGTGACGAGTTGCGGGCTGCGACACCTTAACGGAGAAGGGATGACATGATTTGAGTCACTGAGTGTCTCTCAGCGGTTCAAACGCTGATCGCTACCACTCTTCGCTTCACATAAGAACTTCAACTTCCAGTACCACAGGTTTTGAGTTGAGATTGGTTCCGCGTGCTCGATCGAGTATTGCGTGCGCGTCTCTCAGGGTCTCGGCGCTTGGACTTCTTGGCCTTCAGCTCGCCTCTGCTGGCAGTGCTGCGTGCAGTGCTGGGCAGAGTGACACGGCAGTGACACGGTATTAGTAGCAAGACATGGACTTCACGTATGGAGTCACGGTGTTTTTTCTGGCCGAGGGGCTCTGCAGCCTTCGGCGCTGCATGGTGATCCGCAGGTCCGACATGATCCCTGAAGCAAGGCAGGTCGAAATGAGGCCTCAAAGCGAAAAAAGAAACGTTCAGGGCCCCCGTCGTAGCTCCAGCAGGCTGCGCGCAGCATCTTCCAGATCCTGTTGACTCAGTCATTCGACCATTCGACTGGACTTGCCAAAAACCTCCAAACCCGCCTTCATGATCGCTTGGATCGCTTGCAAGGAGAGGACTAATGCACCGGGACCTTGTCTGCGAAGGCGACAGCCGCCCCCCGTTCCCAAAGCAACTTCAGCCACCAAAGATGCGGCAAAGCTCCCTTTTTTTGCTTGTCCTCGAGTTTGTGGCGCGGAGGAGACTCGCAGAGGCGCGCCGAAAGTCGATAACTAAATGTAAGGCTAACACTAAGATAAGGAATATTTCTGCCCTTCCCTCAGATGCCGGGAGCATCCCATCCCTTTGCTCGCAGGCCGGCAGCAATGTAGTTGATGCCTTAAGTCAAGACACTCTTAGGTTTACGGCCATACTTTTCACTCACATGACCAGCCGCTGCGATGCACATCCGAACCTCCTGCTGTCTGCTGTCCTTTTGTCCTTTGGGTTCGAATTCAATTAGAATATCCGGCAGCCTGCATTTAAATAGTCTCTTGCCAGGCTGTCCAAGTGCCAAGGTCAAACAGATGCTTCATGGATCAAGACGGAGTGAAGGGCAAGGAAGGCCTTCGAATTAGGACTGCGTCTGGCGCGTCGCAAGTTCACTCTCAAGACTGAAGACTTCTGGCGAATGTTCCGTATATTTAGTGCCATTCAGGCTGAGGCACGCTTTGCGTTGACACCCAAGTCGCTGTCTCCAACGCGAGACGAGCTCTTTACGTTCACCACGGCGTCCTCGACACTGACCTCAAAGTCCTGTGATGGCCGAGGCTGAAACCAATCGGGAAAAATGGGGTCCTGGTAGGAAGCGTGCAGAAGACACACATACATACGTATATATATATATATATATATGGTACCCCCCCCCTTTTATCCCTTTCTAGAATATGTACAGTTCTCATACGAAATAACCTATGCACCTACGTTTTGTATGGAACCCCTCTAGTATCCCTTCCTCCAAAACCATGCTTCCATAGTATTTCTATTTCATATTGTATATATA